GAAGTGTACATAAAAGCCACCACTGCACGAGTATGCACGGAACGATGAATTTGGAATTGTGCATGATTGATTTTGTATGAATCCATGACACGTGCATCGAAATCAGACAACCAGCAAGTTAGATTGACAGAAAATGCTGTTTCAGTACAACTCTGCAGAAAACGTCTGTCGCAAACTTTTCAACTGCATAAAGTGGGAGGGAGTAGGTGTGGATCAATCCCCCGGATGAAGCTACGGTTAGAGTCAAGTGGTCGACCATACAAGTACAAGCATACACTGTAGGGTTGCAAAAATCTCGCGCACCTTCATTGGTGAGTTGCTAGAACGCTACGGATGACGTTTTCTGAGCTACTGACAACAGAACTTCCTGAAAACTGAACATTCGCAGGACGTTTTGGATGAGAAACCCGTTAGTTTTAAGGTGTCTAGAGAAGACTGAAAAAAGCCCCAGCACTGGTACAACAGTTCAAAAAGCATATTTGTAAAGGATAAAGAAGCGATCAAAATCTTAAAAGAAAATTTTTCGCAACTTCAAACGTTTTCAGATGTTAATGACGGAATTTTGCAAAGCGTCTGGGTATGCAAAATGTTACGCCCCAGAAACACCTTGGGCGCAAGTGTTGCATAACTCGAGGTTACGATGATACTATACTATAAATTCTAACTTTCTGGTCACAAAACGACTCATCACAAACCACTCCAAAATCTCACCCTACTGGTTTGAGTAAACACAACTGTGGGACCTTGGAAAGTTGCTTACAAATTTACTCCCTCATTGAGAATGAGCAATTTTTCAACATTCATCCGTTCTTCTCAAAGAGCAGTTTTCCATGACTTCTCTGTTAAATACCGAGTTCGGCCAGTGATTCATCAATGTCTATATTTCAGGTTCAGCCGACCCAAGTGGGTTTAACCTGGCACAAATTCTGACAAAGCGGATGAGGTTTTTATTTTCTTAAAATCTCCTCTTTCCATTCAAATTACATGAAACCGAGACGAGATTTTACCGGAAATGAGCTACCGAACTAAAGTACGTAGTTGTCGGCCCCATCACTAAAAATATTGGAAAGAGGGATAATGTTTCGCACAGATTTGGTGGAAATTTTGCCACAAAAAATTTTTTGAACCCGCAGGCAACGCCAAAATTTTTCCAATGAGCGCTGGTTGACCTACTGTGCACCATACTACAAGTACACTTGATAAATGAGTGTTTTAAACGGAGCAAACTCTTCCTCATAGACAGCATGCTCATTTTTCAACCATATTTTGTACTTATTATTCAGTATACTGATGGAAAGCACTCTACAGTCGTTAATTCATATGATATATGAAGTATTGTAGAATTACATTCTCAATCGGCTTCGTGGAACAAACATCACTCCAGATTATTGAATGAAAAGGCGACGGTTTCGGTTTCGACGCGAAGCAGAAATGGGGTAGATAAAATCTAGGACAGAAACTAGCAAACAAGTGGGTCGTTTAGTTCTACAGGTCGTAGAATGGATACCTAGATGAATGTAGATGATAACCACAAAACAGATTAATTACATCGTGCTTGTATGCTACAGGGTCGATTATCTAGAGTGTAGACACCAGAGGTAGCTAGTTAGGACCACCTATTTGTTATAGCTTTCAAAATTTAGATAACTATTCCGTCGCTCTCTTGTGAAAATTGCACCAAACCCTTTCCCTGTGCACTCCATCGACGAGAAATCTTCCAACTGATTAGTCTTCTGACTAACCCAAAAGGTCTTTCAAGTGGTGTAGTTAGACTGCAATTACAGGCAGCATCACATTCTGCACGTGAGCCGATAACGTGATCTGAAGCTCCATTAAATGGAACTTCTGGGGAGCTGCATCATTTTGGATTCAGTTGCATAACTGTCACAAAATCTCTGTCGTGGAGATCGACTGAGGTTTTGACACAAACAACGGAAAGCTAAAAACGTATACTCAATGTCTCAAATTCGATAACATGGGATCCCCTTCACATTCCCCTACACAGTCGCTGATGGTCAGCCATTATCTTCGGCTTGTCAAAAACTAAGAGTTCCAACTTATTTTAGGTAAGCCGACCACAGATAAACCATTTCGAAAAAGCCCAAAAGCCTCCGTCCAATAGTAGTTGGTTTGCAACTACTCGCATAACAGATCCAGGTGCTTGATTATTACAGCTGATATTTTGCATCTTATTGGTATAGTATTCTTCAGTTGGTAACCGACAGTGGAACTTTGCATGCGCGTAGCCAGGTAAATCTGACCTACTTAACTATTCTGCAAGTGTCAGCAAAGTACACTCATTTGCAAACTATTTGGTTTTTCGAGAGGCTCACCTGGTTGAAGGAAACTTGGGGACTGCGCCTACCTGACGGGGCCCAAGAAGGGCGAAACTAGTCAAGGGCTGTCGAGGAGCTTTCATCAACCTTATGAGTAGTGCATTACAAAAATATATATGTATCGCGATATCTCGAATATCGTAGCAACTGAAACATGAGGCGGCCTGGTGTAGCACATTTAGTTGCCTGGAAACATCAAAACCGAGAGATTCATCTGGATTCCAGGTGAGTCTCTCGAAAAACCAAATTAGTTTGCAAATGAGTGTAGTTCGCAGATTTCGTGCAATTTTGTTTCATGTAGAACATAAGGTTGCCGGAAATTCGGGGACTGCACCTACCTGATGAGCCCCAAGAAGGGCAAAACCCGTCGTGGGCTGTCAGGGAGTTTTCAGCAACCTTACGAATAATTCCAAAAGTATATCAGCAAAGTAGCTTGTCTGCAGAAAAAAGCATTGTCATGCATTAATTATTCTGTCTCTTTCCTCGGAATATTGTATGGGTAATGCTTAAGCTCTGAAGACCATTAAACGAATATGCTGTAGAAATTACTTCAGAAATACTGGGTTATGCAACATCACTGGTGCTTTTCCTTAACTCGAACGGACTTATAATTGATCATCTATGGAGTTGTTTGCCATTAGATTTGTTACTCCTAACAACTGAGCCATTATTTCTTTGTCCCTGATTTGATCTGATTCTGATTCTGCACATGATTGGTAATGTATGCTCACCTGGTTTCTCAGTTGTACCTTGATGAGGAAAAATATTTCGTCCGTAGGGATATCAGATTCCTGGAGCAACACTCATGACATAGGCTTGACGAATGATGTTATTTTCATGTAGCCGTTAAAAGACGTGCATGCTTTGGGCGGTTTTCGATTAGCAAAACTCAGTCAAACCACTAGTTTCGTGAGTGATACGGAGTCGAATTCGCACACACAAGCCCCAGTTCATCTCGATTTGAGCGTTATCAAATGGAGATCAAGTGTTCTCTTCCCCATTTTACTGACTTTCAAAACCGTCACCTTGGGGAGATATCTTGGTGAGAGAGGTTTGTTACATATAGGAAAGTACCTCATATGGATCGAAAAAAACAGCTTCTTTTGACAAGCTATTTTGCTTATTAAGCTATTTTTATAGAGAATAATGTGCGGAAATAAGTGGTGGTATAAGGGAGAATTTCCTAGTCAGTCTAGTTTCAAAACTCTGAATGCTTCTACGGGTGCAGGATGATATGTCGACGCATCGTGCGCCGAATGTAATCGACAGGCTGCTAAACATGGAAAAAGTAAGCCAATTCTACGAAGATAATTTACAGTACTACTGCAAAGATAATTACCATCAGTCCTAACAGCAAGCCACATAAGAAGCATTCATTGACGTAATCATGGAACCTTATCAATAGAAACGTTGGGGCTACGTGAAACCATCTTGTGTGTGAAACAAGCTATTAACAGAACGTTTTGCCAATTTCTTCAAATTTTCTTCAGTAAATCGATGGACATTTTTATAATCATCTTACAATGACTCTGAGCAATGCAGTAAGCGAAGAAAGCTAATAACCCTCTTGCCGAAATTCCGTACTACGGTGTGCCTTCAAATCGTCCATGCTTATCTCAAGGGATGGCCAACAGGCCTCATAGGAATTTAGAAGTCACTACGAAGCACGCCCGAACGCTAAAATCCAGTGACCGTCTGATGTGGTTCACCAATATAAATATATTGGTGGTCCTAAGGCAAGAGTTTCTGAGTAGCCAAACGAGTCGTCATACCCCCTTTATCAAGGAACGGTCACTACAATAATGATGAAATCCACAAACCCATCTCACTGAAACTGCTTAAAAGAATTTCGACTGCTGTGTGTGGACGAACGATAAACGAACGGTAAGACATCTCCGCAACCGCCCATGGTGCAGTTTATAACTCGACTTGCAACTCGAATCAGATTTAACCATTCAGACGGTAAGATTGGTGTGGACCTGTAACAGATTCTTACTTTGAGTGACAACACAATAATGTCGTGAGTCCAGGTTATTACTATGTTGTGTGGTCTTTAGACCCAGGACTTCTGTGGGCAGCACTGCGACCGCAGAACCGTCCCAAAATGTGCAGCTCGAAATGTGTGCATGTGAAGTTGAAAAGCGCTAGCAGCATTCAACTTGAATAGTGCGGAATAATTACATCTACAGTTATATTTGATTGCAGTTGGCCGTAGAATGTTTCCCTTAAACCAGTGACAATAACACACATCGTGGAGAAAGTTTATGAAATTTACTTTGGTTACACGCAAATGTTGTGGAAATAATTGCGCGGAGATTGTCCTTCGGTTACAGATGAAGGAAGGCACAGATACTCGAGTGTTGACTGACGCACGTACACGAACTATTTAAGACCATGAGAGTAACAAATGAGTGAGGGCTGTTGTTTGGAATTCGTACAGACATGTAAATCACATAAGCCTTACAGTGCAGAGAAGAACAAACACACCGAGATAGTATGGAGAGCAGAAATGCAACCGTTTAGACGGGTAGCTGCCACAACACACATGTTCACGTGCGATAGTCACGCTCGCACCAGACTAGTGGACTTGTGCCTACGTGTCGCTAACCCACCAATGATGTGGTGACACTGGTAGGGACGTTTCATTGGTCTGGAAAAGACGATCGATTTCAAAGAAAGCAACTCCTACAATCAGGACCGTGTGCCATTCCGACGCTCGTTGTTGTTCACATCAATCCGTAAACATGGTAAAACAGATCTGCACAAAAGTACGTTTTCTATATGCCGTAGACCTTCAGCTATCGATAAACCGCGCGTTGACTAATAATACCCTAGTATTTGTAGATTTTCGTATAATTTTTCAAAATTTTCATACTTATTTACAGGCCGAACTGAATAAGGAAGTCAGCGGAAATTCAGGCAAACTAGTAGTGATAGATTTCTATGCCGAATGGTGTGGGCCATGTCGCGCAATCGCCCCGAAAGTTGCCAGTATGGCGGAGGAGTTTAAGGATGTCGTATTTCTCAAAGTTAATGTTGATGTTGGTGAGGTGAGTTTTATGGTTGTTACATCGTCCGTGTATATATATATATATGATGATGATGATGATGAGAATCGCATGGTACGTATAATAAATAATATATTTTACATGCCCAACGTCAGCCGTTGCTGCACGCATGGGTGCACTCTAGTTATTTTCGCTGTTCTTCTGTTATTCCATAGACAATATCACCTCGAAATACGCGAAGTCAAAAGGGAAGAGTGAGACATGAAGCATAATTCTTAGACGCGTCGTTGTTGGAGCGTATTTTCGGGTTTGTGAACGAGCAGATCTGGGGAATAAGAAATGGTTTCTAGCGGTAAACAGACAAAATTCAGCTGGATTACGCCTACCGAAGGCATCAGGACTCCTAGAAACAGATCTGCTACCACATCAGGTACAGACCTACACCTCGCCCACTAATCCGAATCCGAATGCCCTATACGAATAACTCAATAGATGTTTCTTGAATGATGGACGTTTTTCCTGTTGGTCTTGTAGAACCTCTGAAACAGTTGCGTGAGAAAACACCGATGCACTACGACAATTCAGTCCATCTAATACTGTATTATCAGGCTAGCGCTTCTGCCGATGTGACCCAACTAGATGCAGTGCGCACAAGAGCTCGCATTTGAATTCTACGACATACTACATAGATTATAGTACCATGGTGTACTTTCGCAGACACTAGGCCTGTCAGTGGGGTTTATGCACATAGGGTTTCGTTACTGATTCTGCAATATCCTGACGAGGGTCGCGAAATCGCCCATACAATGGGTTTTGGGAATAGTTTAATTGGACCGGGAGAGACGAACTTTGACCCACCGCGAAACACTGGATACTTCTGAATGATTTTCGGCTGAAATCTGGTTGGATCTCCACCGTTAACTTAGGATGTGTGTAGCCGTCACTCTTGGGTATGCATTGTTTGTCACTAAAGGAATCCAGATTACCTACCTGCACCTACGCTCACCCGGTGTAAAGAGTCACATTTTCAATCGAATACCCGCAAGCAGTTGGTATGTGCAATGATGTAACGTTGGCCGAAATGACTCCTCACACCGAAAATTCTCCGACTTACTCGACCATTCCCACAGCAGATTAGATCCACAGTTTTCACCGCGAAGTCCATCGTCATGGACAAAACTCCTCTAGCTACCCCATAATTTTGTGCCATTCAAAGTGATACGCTATGTGGTAATATTATCGATCCCACAATTTTTATAGGTGCGCTGGGACCAAACACTTGGCATTGTAATTAGCCTATGGTATTCGGTGCTGATAAGCGTACAGTTAGTGAAATTAGGGTAGTTCACTCATGCATCTGTAAAATGCATATGATGGATGCCGTCACGCGTCCATGCTAGTGGATCACTGATACACCGACCTGTAAAAATAGTCGTTTAGACTATAGGTTATCTTAACACAACACCCATAAAGATATAACCCATTACCTTTCTTCTTCTCTACTAAAAACAGGAGCTTTCAAAAGCATACTGTATCACGTGCATGCCCACCTTCGTGTTCTTGAAAGGTGGAGAAAAGGTGGATTCCTTCAGCGGGGCCGATGAAAAGAAGCTGCTTGAAATGGTGAAAAAGCACAAATAGACGGAACACGTCGTTGTCGTGCAAAGCTCCTAAAGAACACCAACCTCGGAGTACTGAATGCACAACGCAACCAAATCGTATTTTTTATGTCTTCGCTTGCAGTACGTTTTAACGAATGTGGATTTATTCTGGTCCTCTTCTCACTAAAAATATAATCTGTGAGTTTATGACAAAGGTCTGTTTCAAGTGAAACCTGCGGATAAGGATGCCTTCGGGTGTGTGCCTTATAATGGCCTACATTTTGTCTATGAATTGAGTCATGTCTAGGCACGTGGCTGTCAGCACATAGGGTGTTCAAGCACCGAAACCTGTGTTAAACTATTTATTCATTTATATTTCTTGACTCCACCGACAAAGGAATAATTGGTAACCATGTTTCTTTCTCGAGTACAACACTGTTCTTCGTTACTGTTGCATTTGCGCCACTCAGATGCTCTATTATTGCGTATGGCGTCAACTAAATTAAGCTCCAGCTGAATTCCGTACAGTTGAGACAGACGGAACCATAGCAACTATATGGGTTGCTTTGACTTGCACAGTGCAGTACGTCAGTTTGATTAGACTAATTGTGGTAGAATATATGAGCAGCGAAATCGGACTTCCTTTGGATAACATAGATTAAACTTAACTCAGCGAACAAACGCTGCGTATTGATCTACATATAAAACCAAAGGAAAGATGCACATACAGCTGCGTGTATTGAGCATGTGTGAAGACCATATTTCGATTTCCTGGGTTTGTGGTTAACAATGACGGTGAAGGTCAAAGAGGAATGAAAATCCACTGACAATACTTGGACGAACAGTTTGCTCTCCGGGATATGACCGTGTGTGGAACTATCCTGAGGTTGTCATATATTCCACGCTTCCGGTACTGCATTTTACATTATAGGTCACCCACATCTAGATCATTACGCGTTAGGTTCCTGGTTGAGAGATCCAATCTACTATTACCCATCCTCACTCACGTCGGACTAAGATGCCTCGTTCTGCTTCCAGAGACTGAATCCTGATAAGGTTCATTTCACTCACAGACCATGAAGATGCTTCGTAACCGATTTGTCTTACCATTATATTATTCAAGTCACATCTTGCAAGGAAAACCAGGCTCGCTTCAAAGTCCCTAATGTAAGTAAAGTAAGTAACGTAAAGTAAATAGGCGAAATGTGTCACTCATTTAAGTGGCTCTACGAAGACGCGCGAAGAAGTTACTCGACAACAGCAAGAAGGATTCCGGCTGGGAAGGGGATGTGTGAACAATATTTTCACCCTCCGTACAGCGGCATGCGTTTAGCTGCCCCAATCTTGGTGTCTCTTGACTTCAAAAGTGCGTTCGATTCTACCGACTGGATCGTTGTTGTCAACACACCTGCACAACGCAGTACCCCAAATAAATCCTTGGATATCAAACGCTGCATCTATTCACCTAATTGTGGGTGCTTGCGAAGCTTTCCTCTAAATAGCTGTGTCTAATCATGGAGTCTACTCATTAGCTTTTTATATTTCCTTACTGAGGTCCTCAATGCCCCTGTGCTCAGATCACTCTAATCAAGAACTTTGTCGATTCGAAATATGCAGACGACATTATTCTCTTTTTCTAAAAGGAGCAGGAAGCGCAAACAATACTAGATAACCTAACAAGGATCATCCAGTTGTTTCGCATTTGTCTCGCACAAAGACAATCTGCGAGATTCACAGCTTTTTCAGCATTCAGGGAGTGACAATGGGAGTTGTGGATTACTACATGTATGTCAGAAATTGCATTACTTTTGACGGAATGTGACGGGCGAAGTCAACGCACAAATCTCAAAGATTGGATTTTTTTTGCTAATTTGATCAATTTAGGACACCAAGAGATATATCGCTGGGTCCCAAAGAACGCGTGTATTAGACTACGACACGGGCTGTGTTGTTCTTGGACCGCGATATTTGGTAACTTCTGGCTGAGTAGCTGAGACACGTTTAGGTCTTTGGTACCGAGGCCTCAGACCTATAGCTGGAACCAACGAATTCGCAACGAGATGACCGGGAGACGGCTTTTCAGTAAGCTTATTTGGGTGGACCATGGGTTACGCATGCAGTTACCGTCTGCGAAGACGAGTGCCGTTTTCCGTGCCTAAACCGGAGTGGCGGAAATACAAAGGTAGTAGAATTTCACATGATAGGGGAGACTGAGGGAGTAAATGGAAAACTTTACTGCTGGTGGTTTTGTTTCTCAATTATTGGCCTTGGAAACTGAACCATATGGTAGCCAACCGGTATCAGTGACATCCATGCTATCAGTTATTCAAATTGTCAGATTAAATATTTAAGGTCTGGGTGTCTTCTGTGTTTGTTGTAAGCCAACCCTAGATCCCTTCTCTGTCCCATTCCCTTCTTCTTTCAACTATAAAACTTCATTTAAGTAACTTAAATTGGTTTTACTGCGGTTGGGCGCTACAGTTCTCATCTGTTTTGCCGCCACTAATGATGATGATGACAGTGATGACGATAAAAATAATGGTGTTAAAAATGCGGACGTTGATGGTGAAAAAATAAAACAGAACAAAATTTGACTTACCTAAATGCGCAGTTCGTAGTGTGGAGCTAAATCTATTGTATTTTACCTAGATGATAGAGGTGAACAAAAACGTTATGGGAAGTACTTCCTGCACCGTGCATTGATGGGATGCAAGATGCGTCATATCCTGGAGATGTCGGAGACATCTAGATTGGATGCGATTCCCTCCGTTAGTCAATAATAATCTTAAATAATTATTTTTGATGTTTCCACCGCTCTCGTTTGAACAGTCGTCCCTTACCCCAGCGCAATTATTGTAGTGAGTCCACAGAGCAACCCGACTGATAAGTCCTGCCAAGCAGGTCAATCAATCAACAGTACAGTTTCCGGGTCGTCGTTCGATTCGTCTGGCAAACCAATTACATCATTGAAGCGTGAACACGTTCGGCTGTTCATGTATCAAAATTCAAATGTGTCCAACGTTCGCTGGTTGGGTAGTGGTTACACGCTCAACTCGTGTGTGAGATGCTGGAGTACAAACCTCGGTACAAGTGTATGCATTCTTGATGAGGTCTAACAGAATCGAAACTCGTCTCCATTGCCTCCCCGGGACAGGTGGAGGGCTGTCTAATCAAGCCCGATGTGAATGTCAATTCTACGAACCCCGCAAACATCCACAACTTACTACATCTACAACAACCCTTCATTTTCCAAATCGCACACCTCTGGCCTTACGAATCATGTAGGAACACGAATAGAAGGGCCGAGCACAAACATTCTCATTGCCGTTGGTTTGCAGTCTAAATTTTTGCTCATTCCGATGGAGCTCCATCGAGCACAGTGTTTTTGGTTGAGCATTGGGGTTTATCCATCTACTGAACGGAGCCAGCCAGTCCAGTAAGGCTAAAGATTATCCGGTTTCATTAAATGTTCTTAGACCTCTTTGGATCATTTCAGCAAATACGAATGACTATTTTATTCATTTCCGACTATGCTATTCCAACCATCCTGTGGGAATTCTGGAATGCGGAAGTGATATCCCAAAAGAGTTTCAATTTTCTCACTAATTCACCGCTTGCAGTTTATCGCAATGAGATTTCCTCAACGAAATTTCGACAGTGGAACTGTAGTAATAGTAGCTGTCTCAGCTTAGTTGTCGGTCTGAGCCTCCCAAGCTACTCTTCACGTCAAAACAACCACCAAGGGTATGCTAACACCCAAAATGAAGTCAAGAACTGTTGTACAGCTGTCTCAGCTGTCGGTCTGAGCCTCCCAAGCTACTCTTCACGTCAAAACAACCACCAAGGGTATGCTAACACCCAAAATGAAGTCAAGACAAGAAGTACAGCGCTACGTCAACAAACTTCAAGCAGAAGATGTTAGGCGGAACTCTCCCCCCCCCCCACCGGATTCCGCTTCGCCGCTCGCATTTAGGCATCGCTATGGCTGAGAATCCTATCCCGCAAAAGATTGGCCAAAATTTCGGGATGCTTGCCGGTACGGCATCAAGCCGAGATCTGATTGGTAGAAGGTCTGGACCCAGCAGCCAATCATGACTTAGTATTGGCCGAATGCCGGCTGTCAACGACTCATCCAGAAAGCGTCAGAACTTCCAGAAAGTCGCCACCGCTTACCCTATACATATACACTATACTTGCACCGGTCTCACTAGATTACGGATCCTGTCTGTCCGGCATCGCGGTCGTAATCCGTACTCCGGATGGGTCTGCGACGAAGCAGCCGATGTATCTTTGTGGATGATACCGAGATCAAATGCGTCCAGAAGCGTATACAACATGAATCCACTCGGTCCTCTGGGCACGATCCGTGCATCTGTCGGCCGGATTGTTTTTGTGCCGTACTCACCTGGTTAGGCGAACTTGAATCTCGTAGAGCGCTTTGCCGCGCCGGCGAAAGATGAGTCCTGGAATTCACGTAGGGTGTGTGCCGCTGTAGTCACGAAACAGCACTCTCTGGCATCCATCAGCAAGAGATAGCGCGTTACACCTGTTTAAACAGACGGAAACATGTGAAGCGAACAACATCAGAGGATACGCTCTAAATGAATAGATACCGATTACTAGACAAATCACAACTGCATAGCAAAAATGAAAGCATTTCCACCGGATATCCCTCGTGTTGGAGAAGAATGCTGACGGGACAATGCACATCAGCGTTTCCGTCGTCCCACAACTCCAGTACCACGGAATTGGACCTGTTTCATCCATTGCACAAGTATGACAATGAGCCCGGCTAATTGCGAGCGCGCGAATATATTGGTGGCTATACACAGGTGTTCAGTGTGCTGACCATCTCCTGTTGCAGAACAAGAGTATGATTTTGTCATATCAGGATAGTGAAAAATTTGTCGACCCAGCCCAATGTGAATGTCAATTCGACGAACCCCGCAAACATCCACAACTTACTACATCTACAACAACCCTTCATTTTCCAAATCGCACACCTCTGGCCTTACGAATCATGTAGGAACACGAATAGAAGGGCCGAGCACAAACATTCTCATTGCCGTTGGTTTGCAGTCTAAATTTTTGCTCATTCCGATGGAGCTCCATCGAGCACAGTGTTTTTGGTTGAGCATTGGGGTTTATCCATCTACTGAACGGAGCCAGCCAGTCCAGTAAGGCTAAAGATTATCCGGTTTCATTAAATGTTCTT